GATTCATATCCAAAACGGATTGAGAGAACAAAGTTGACCGTTTCACCGGAAAATAACCTTTTTGAGGTTATTTGTATTGATATGGGTTTTATGATGATAAAACCTTGTTATTAACTTGTATAATGTATATCAAGAACTTTCACGGGGTTGAAAGGGTCGCCGGAGTTGTCGCCATAGTTGGTTGAAGTTCACCGGAGTTTCACCGGAGCTAAATAAGAAAGGCTAGAACTTCATAAGCTTCTTTCAAGGTGAGAAGACGACTATATGCTTTATGACTTTTGATTGAGGCATGTGATACGCGTGTAATTTCCGTGTGTATGTTTACATTTTTAGTTACTTTTTATTGTTTAGTATTCCGGAAATTACACACTTTTGGTGTAAGGGTTTTATGGATCTATTTAGTCTTTCACATTTCACACCATGCAAAAAAGAGCAAATAAACCTAGAAATAGATAGGAAAGAATCAGAATCTAAAATATACTATCAATGTGTTATATATATGCTGTGAATGTAAGAAGATGTAATACATAAATGATTGTATCTGCTGGTTCAAAATAGTGAACAAAAAAGTAAGAATGGTTTACTTTAAAAGTAAGAATGCACTCCAAAAATATCCTATAGTATCCTATAATAATGTACATGTTAAGTCAAGATGTTTAGTCCTAAAAGTGAAATGCTTATTCCAGAATCTAGAGACAATATGTGTATATTTCAAGTAGGAGTGATAGTTCTTTTATAATGATGGTTTTAAAATTAAGTGATCTACCTGTTTCTAATTTAAAGACAATATACATATTACTTCTGATTTTTTAAAATACTTTTATGTTCTCCATAAGTCATCCCCAAAGCAACTGCCAAGCAAAAACAGAAAAACTTAGATGCTCTGTTTTACAAGTCTGATGCCACTAATAATTAAGAAAATCGGTTATTATTAATATTTCATTTCTTCAGCTCAAATCTAAATTATATACTCCCAATCTTTTTCAACCATTATATTTATAAACAACAAGTTTATAATGCATGCTAACTGACCAAAAAATATTAAGTGAGTGGTATTTAATGCTCAAAATATTCCTTACAACCTTTATTTTGCTGCTGGATACAATAAAGAAAACGGATTGAATGGACCAAGATATACCCGTGAGAAGATCAAGAAAAGGGGTTTCTATTCTCGTTTGGAATTCACAACATTTCCTGAGATTTTCCCCCAATATCGTCTCTGTGATTTGACTGATTTCCCACACTCAGGCGGGAAACACCCTTCACCGGACGGCAGAAATTCAGCTGTTGCTCGGCATCTGTCCGGACTTCAGGTTTTCGGCAGCTTCCCAATGGTGGCGTGGAATTCGTGGATGTAGCTCGAGACGGCTAGCTGGGCTTTCAGATTTGGCGACTTGCTGGTCGTAGATGGACTCACCGTCTGGGTTCAATTCTTTGCTCCTCCAAGATCTGGCGCACTTTAGATGCTAGGTTGCAGGAGAAATGGGAAACGATAATGCTATGGAATTATGGATGGAGACGATCTGGATTCTTCGCTCCTCTTTTGGAAAGTTCAGTGGACGCTATGGATGGAGTACATGTCGCGTAGAAACTATCGGAGTACGAGAAGCGGCGTTAAATCATTTTAAGGGTACGGATGGAATTATAGAAAAAACGGAAATGGTGTGTGTGCATTTAGCAAAACCGTGACTGTAAATAGAATCAGCCTTGACTGAGGCGCTGATGGATCCATTCCAAGCGATTTGAGGGTAGGGCAACGGCCAGTTTGGGCTGCGGCGCTGGATCGTGGGCCTATGAGGAGGGTGAATTGGATGCGGGCTTTTCGCTGGGTTTGGGCCTTGTTTTCACTACGCAGAATTGCAGGAAGTTGGGCTTCACTGCTTTGATTTCTTTTCGTGACACTGCTGGGCAGTTTACTGGGCCGCTGGAGCTGATCCCTTTGTAGGATGGGACGTCACTGTTTCGGATTCCTTGGGCTATGCGGATGGCGGATTGGTGGGCAGCTTTTGTTGATGTATTTATGATACGAGCCGGAGCCTGTCCCGTGCCGTTTCGGCTTTCACCATTAAACCTCTCCCCTCTTGCCTCCTCAAGGGGTGGGTGGGGGCGAGGTTTGAATGGTTTGATACTATTTAGTCAGTTTACTAGCTTTCCAGTTTTGATACATTGTACTATGTTATTTTTGGCAAAGCCGGTGATAGGGGGAGTTAACCTAGGCGAGTGCCTAGGGCCTCCATATTTTTAGGGCCTCAAATTTTTTAGAAGTGCTATTTATATATATTTATGTGTGTTATTTGAGAGATGATTGTATTCCTTCGTAATCCCAACAACATTCTTAAATTAGGATGCCAATCAATTATTTTATAGTGGCATCCATCATTTGATTTTAAATATGCGTGAACACAAATTTAAAGTTCGGAATCAAATCAGTGATCATTTCTCTCTATTACTCCAATACTCCGTATTTAGTTTCAATTTTTACAGAGTATGTATTCTTTGTATTTTAGTCTTTATTATATTAGCCTTATTGATCATTGACATTAACTTTGAAAATTCACACATTCTTATACAAAAAAGTACGGAGTATGTAGTACGGAGTATATAATATGAAAATGATATATTTTTATCCTATAATTATGTTCATTCTACACTCCAAAGATCTTGATTGTATACCTATAGTAATGCTCTGTTTTAGTAATAGTTTATTAAACAAATCATTATGTACTACTTCGTATTTTATCCACTTAATTAGGATATCACTTCTTAATTAAATTTTAATTTGACAACTTTATCTTTATTATTGATTGATACAGAAATGTTGACTTTATAAAACAATTTCTTATGGAGGTAGTGTTTTTTTTTTTAAAAAATGAAGGTAGTATTTTGTTATATGCTACGTAACACTTTTATTTGAATGCCTTGGGCCTCAAATATGCTAGAGCCGGCCTTGATTTTTGGGTGTGCTTAATATACTTACATTTCATCCAAAAAATATAAAATATAATTTAAATGTCAACGAACAAAAGCTAAAAGCAAAATTGAAAAAGGAAACAAAAACTTAATAAAAACTAAAATAACAGTTGGGATAAAAAAACAAAGTCTGATCAAATAAATCAATTGGAGCAGGAAGCCAGGAAGACAACTCCACGCTGGATAGTACGAAAAGATGTGCCATGCGGCCGATTGAAAAAAAGAAGACGGGGATGAAGAAGAATCAAATTAAAAGATTGTGGATATTAAAACTTACCTATATTGATCATCGCCATCCGCCGTCCATCCAAGTTGGAGGAAAAAAATCACTATTTAAGTCTCAGCTCTATAATCCTTTGGAGATGGAGAGTGCAAGAAATCAGATCCAGAAAGTAGGGGTGCAATGTGCATAAAACGGTGCCGTATTGCCCCCTAATGATACTGAACCGAACACTTGGTATTTAAATGTTTCTATAGATTTTTGTCCTGTACCGAAACCGAGCCGTTTGAAACGGGTACGGAACCGGTTCTAGATTTTGAGAACAAAAAAATACCAGAGCAAGCCGTTTGAAAATAATGCATATGATTTTTTATATTTTTCTATACCTATATCAACCATTTTAGAGCCCAAGTATGTATTAATATATCCTTAAAATAGCTAAATGCTTGTGCTTATATTGTGTGTGTGTGTGTATACTCCGTATTATTGTTATTTTTTTTTAGACAATTTGTGTTATATTTTGGTATGTTTTGAAAAATATTACTCGTAAAATTTTAGAAACCATTAATGATATTCATTTCTAGTTATGTAGGGCACATGACATTTTGTTGTATCATATTTGTGCAATTTTACAATTTAATTAATATGGTTTAAATCTTAGCTCTCAAGGTTCAACTATAAATTAAGAGCCTGTTTGGTAACATGAAAATCGGCTGTTTTGGCTGATTCTGCTGAACTTTATGAAGTTCTGATTCAAGTGCCTGCTTTGACTGTTTCTGCTAATTTAAGCAAAAATTATTTTGAAAATATATTTTATTAATAAAATAAAGAAAAAGATTTTATTTAAAAGTAGCTAAAATGATCATCTACAGTAACTTCAGCCAATACAGCCATAAAAGTAACCCCAACCTTACTTTTTCTGCTTATTACACAATTCGGCGCTTGAAAGTAAAAGTTACGTGTTTGGTGAAAAAATTGACTGATAAACCTGATAAGCCGTAAAATGATGTTACCAAACAACCTCTAAAACTATGGAGTAATATTTAACCAAGAATTATGGAGTAATATTTAACCTAGAATGAAGATGAAGAAGACGAACGTTGAAGATTTTTATTATATTCAACAATTTGATAATATTCTTTTTTATATTATATTTCACGAACTTAGTATATTAGAAATGATATTTATCTCGTGCGACATTGTTTTGTTATACTTTTTCTTAGTTGTGTCGTAGTATTTGTGTATTTGTAAATTTTAGTATTACGTATGCAATTTCTTTTATTTATATCCATATTTCATGTGACTTGATTGGTGTGATGACATCTACTAATTGCAAGATTTGTTCAAATTTTTACCATGTGTTTGACATGGTAATATATCGTTTTGTACCATTCCGAAACGACATGGTACCGAAGGGCTCCATTCGTGGAACCGGGCCGTATCGAACCGTTTAAAAATCTCACAAATACATTACGGGTTTTACCAATTTCTCAGACCATTCGAGGCCATGTCTAGCCCTAAATTGGGGGTTGCGTACACGCCTGAGAAAAGTCTAACAAATAAAAGGGAATCTTACAAATTCAAATACGGAGTCAATTATTGATCAATAGAGGTAGGGGTATAGCTGGCGAAAGAAACGAATCATTTAACTCATAACTCCATTTAGGAAATAAATGAAATTTATACGGAGTTTGCAGGTAGAGTCATCATCAATCAATCAATAAATAATATAAGCATGTGACACGATGACCGACCGTACAATACGAATAAATACGTGGTAGTACTCCGCGGTAAAATTTTACTGACTGAACTTTTCTCTTACGCCAAATATATATACTAATATACTCCGGGTTAATGAAATTGGTAATGACTAATGAGGACAAGTATGAGGGTGCTAATGAGGTTGGCCGCCGCCGCAATGGCAGCTGCGTTGGTGGCGGAGATCGGATTTTGCACGTCGGCGAGCAAAGCTGGAGTAGCTCTGGCCGGGTGCCCGGAGAAGTGCGGCAATGTTACGGTGCCGTACCCTTTCGGCGTGGGGCATAACTGTTCCTTGAACAGAGATTTTAAACTCACCTGCGACAAATTACACTCAAAGTTATTGACTTCCGGCGGAATCGAAATCACAGGCATTGATTATGTCAAGGGGCGGTTGGAAATGCAGATGCCTGTATACAGCCTCTGTTTCAACGAATCCGTAAAACAGGGGATGGTGGATTTTCCTGTGGGGAATGCCGCCTTCGCCATTTCCCCTAAAGAGAACACGTTCATCTCCGTCGGCTGCAACGGCTCCGCATCTTTAATCGGCCGGACGGACTCCATTAATATCTCAATTGCGTGCAACAAGGACACCGGAAACTACTGTTCCGAGGTTGGGTGTTGCCAGGTTGATATTCCGGTGATCGGCTGGTTGAGGGAGCTCCAGCTTACTGCCAATAGCTTGGGGTTCAACAACTGCTGCCAATCTTTTGTCGCAAAAAAAAAGTGGTATAAATACCGCCGGGAGGATCTCACACATAGACGTCTGGGGTTTAACTCGACGCCTCTGGTCGTGGACTGGGCTGTGGGCAATGGGAGTCAAACGTGTGAAAGTGCTGCTGCAGAAGAAGGGTATCTTTGCAAATCCCACACAAAGTGCAAAATAGGGAAAATCGAGTTCGGGTACCGGTGTAAATGCAAAGAAGGTTATACCGGGAATCCATACCTCCCTAATGGTTGCCAGAGTAAGCACTTGTTATTCAAGTTTCCATTTTTATACGGAGTATCACATAAACAACACAGGTCAAATATATAGATCCCTTTATGGTTTCTAATTAGGAAAAATTCACAACAATAATCTCCGGGGATGGATTTAAGGGGAACTCGATATATATGTGTTCACCCCCTTATCTTCTAGTTTTTAAAATTTGGGAAAAATAATTAAAATACCCCAAACTTTGAAGGGGTGTGAGATAAACACCCTAAACTTTCATATGTAATTTAAATACCCCAAACTTTATATAAAAAGTTATTTTAACACCATGGTCATGTATTATTTCAAAAATTTATGATATTAATTGCATTAATTAAAATAGCAAATTGAACACATTGCAATTTTATAGAGTTTTAGGGGGGGGGGGGGGGGTGATACTATTTATTTTACAATAAAGTTTAGAATGCTAATTGTATCTTCATGAATGCTAAGATGTTTTAAATTATGAAATTAACACCATTTATTAACATTTTTGAAAAAAAAATAATACAAGATCATGGTGCTAAAATAACTTTTTATATAAAGTTTGGGGTATTTAAATTACATATGCAAGTTTGGGGTGCTTACCTCACACCCCTTCAAAGTTTGGGGTATTTTAATTATTTTTCCCTTAAAATTAATATATAAGCTCACATAATGTAATATACTACCCTTAGTTGGAGATTTAAAATAAGTAAAGTCTAAAATAATTTAAATAATTTAAACAAATAAACAATAGAACAAGTCATTGTTTAAGACTTGTGATACCTATTATATCAAAATTCTTAGTTCCATAATGTTTAATTATTGAAAAATTCCCGGGATATGACTAAAACAAAGTGAGTTTCTCAAAATGTGAGTAGTTATGTTTTTTTCCCAAAGCATGACTGAAAATATATATAAAAAAAAGAAATTTTCGTTATATTAAATTTTGGAAGGACGGAAATATTCTTTTTCTTAAAAAATGCATTTTACTCTACTTTCGTCTAGGCCTGGGACCGGTTCGGTTCCTAAGCAAAATATGTGGAACCGTTTGAAAATATGAAATTTTACTAACGGTTCGGTTCTTATAAATTATTTTATAGAACCGATAAGGAACCGAACCGTTCTTAACGGTTCGGTTCTTGTCATTTAACGGTTCCTAGTCTTTGAAAAAATTCTTACAAATCACAGCTAAATTTTAAATACTCTGGACCTTCCGAGTTCCGACCAGCTGGAGTTTGAACCTAATGAGGGGCCTAAGAAGCCTAATAGAACTAGTTGAAATGAATAATAGTTTTAAATAGTTAAATAACTAAACTAAAATAATGAATATATATAATATAAAAATAAATAAGTAAATATACATTACAATATATATATATATTCATAAAAAATATATTTAATTTTAATTATTATATATAACGGTTTCTTAACGGTTCCTGGTACATATTTTTTTCAGGAACCGAGAACCGAACCGTTAATAAAAATTAGGAACCGAACCGTTAACAAATAACTAATAAATGTCGGAACCGAACCGAACCGGGTCATAATGGTTCGGTCCGGTTCGATTCTCCGGTTCTTGGTTCCAAAGTCCCAGCCCTACTTTCGTCCAGGTAAAAATAATGCACTTTATGAAAGAGTCATTGCACAACATTTATTGCACTTTATGTTGTGTTCACTGCACGAGATTTAATGTATTTCATGCAATTAAGTTATGACACTTCAGTTTATGGGTTTTTGTAGTTTTGATAACTTTAGTTTTTACGTTTATTTAAATATAATGCACTTCATGAAAGAGTTATTGCACAACATTAAAAATTTGTTAGGATTTCATATACTTTTTCATTTTAAATTTGATAATCGCACTTTATGTCAATGTTAATGCGCTAATTATTGCACTTCTTGTCATAATCACATTATACATGGTCATATCATTGCACTTCTTGTACCAATCATTGCATTTCTTATGATATTCACGGAACTCAATACAAATTATTCATTGCACACAATCTTCAATCATCTTCAACCTTGGGTTCGCCTTCAACCTCGACCACCTTGGTTGAAGAATCTGAGTTGTTGGAGCGGCAGTCCAACGCCATTCTTTGAGAACATTAATTCCCAACCCCAACTTCAAGAAATACAAAAAGAAAAAAGGAGAAGGGGAAGGAGGCAACCATGCGGCGGGTTTGCGGTTGGTGAGCGGCGGCGAGCAATGGTTGTGCGGCCGCCGGCTAGATGGCAGACAATACATGGACGCTGCGCAGCGCCTTGGAGCCCCGGTCGAGCGTACGATTGCACTAGCTATCGTCGATTTACACCCAGATCGCAGTTATGTGCAAGGCGGCGGCGTTGGACGGTGGGTGGCGGCGCTGGACTGTGGGCTAAGACTAGGCAGCGAGCAGCAATTGGGCGGAGGGGCGGCTGCGTGAGTGAGCATTGGGGGTTGTATCTAGGGTTGTAGAATATGAATAGGAGGTTAGGGTTTTATAGGGATAAGCTAAAGGGTGTTTTTGTCCATGAAAATTATTTATTAATTATTAATTACGAATTTTAATTAATTATTATGAAATGTAATATTATTTTGGGAAAAAAATAGTTAGGTCATAGATTGGGAAAGTGAGAGAGTGTTAGGTCCCTGTTTTCTAGTCTAAAATATGTATGTATGGAAGATAGATCTATGAATAAAGCTTTCCATTGATGTGTAGAAGGTTTTACAGAATGATATGAAACTTAGCGTAAAAACCTTACACGGAAATAGGCATTGCGGCACAGAATGTATTGAAAAGCTTAACCTAGCCTTTCCCTTAAGGCATATATATAGCCTGACGGGAAAGGTAGGTTTACAATCATTGGACTCATTTTTCTATGAGGCTCATACCTAAAAAGGCATGAAAGCCTTTATTACAATTTAACTATAAAAGGCCTATTTATTATTAAAACTAACTACAAAATAGCAAGGTAAACATTGATCACAATTACAATGAAAATACCTCTAACAGAGAGTTTTAGTCATATGGGGGATAATTATTTCTTTAATTAACTTTATTAGATAATTAGTACTCGATATGTAAAATATCAATGATATAAAATATCGGACACAATAGTTAAACAATTTTTAAAGGATTCAAAGTAAATCCAAAATATACGAAGTATGATAAAAAAAGAAATTCAAAATATAAATATTTGTTGACACTAAATTATACAATCAATTTACTTCTTACTTTAATTTGTAAAAACAATTTGTAGCATAGATAATACGAAGTAAGTTTTAATTTATTTAAGCATTAATACAGATATAATATGTACCATGTATATATGAATTAACAATGCTACATATCATATTATTCTGAAACTAATAATCTCATACACACTCTTACACTATTTTAATATTAGGAAAACCCATCGTGATCCATTAATACCCTCTTTCATAGACAAAAATTACACTTCAAAAACCAATTCTTTATTGTGATAAGATTCATGTTGTTAAAAACATCGGTCCATGTGTGCCTTATAAACTCTTTACCTTCAAATAATTTGATAAAATGTTATATCCTTTCTTATTTTCAAATAATTTTCTAGAACACTAACAATTATTAAATCAAAATTATTTTTTCATTGTCTAAAATTAGAATGTAATATAATAGATTTAAATGTCATGGAATTTTTTGAACAAAATCTAGTCATGGAGTCCTACACTAGCGAAAAAATTCACCCCGCTACTCTAGCGGAAAAATTTTCCACATCCTACACTAATGGAAAAATTTTCACTTCCTACACTAATGAAACAATTTTGCCCCCCTTAAATCGAAATCTTGGACCCGTCCCTGATAATCTCATCTTTGATCAGGCCCCTGGACAGTGATTGCCACATCCTTCCCCCGGCCAGTGAGTGTCGATGTTCGCTCCTTCCATTGAACCAACAACCCATCAGGCAGCAACCGCACCCAAACCCAAGTCCCAAGCCCAACCCCACCACACCCCAGCCCTGCACAATCGTTGCTAAGATCAAGGACAAAGCGAGACCGTAATATCAGTGGTGTCAACAATTATTAAAGTAATAGGAGTATTATAAAAACTATAATGCATAAAAATATCAATACATAAATAATTTTTATATTTTAACTCTTAAAAATATCAATACATTCTCGTGTTCATTTCACTTAATCATTCAATAATTTTTATATTTTAACTCTTAAAAATATCAATACATTCTCGTGTTCATTTTACTTAATCATTCAATATTGAATTCATTTTTAGTATTTATTTATCAACTAAATCAATAAGGAGAAATATATATACTAAGTATTACTTCAGCAAGAATTTCACAAATTTCGACAGATTCGGCCGATTCAGCCAATTTGAGTTATACCAAATAGGCTCTAAAATTGGTTGAATCGGATGAATCAGCTCAAATTGATGAAATTCTAGTTGAAGCAGTTGCAATTGCTACATCTACTGAATTATGTTAAAAGTAAATTTAATTTTTTTTATTAATAAAATATAAAAATATTGTATCAAAATTGTTAAAAGGGTGTTCTAAAGTAGCATCAGCCAAGAAAATCACTTTAACCTAACTTATTCTAATTATTATACACTTCAGTCCCAAACTCTTATTCAGCCCCAAAGTCAAAATAAGAGTTATCAAATGACACTCCATGTTATGTAAATCATTCATACATAAGTATATATGTAAATAAAGTGATATATTTCGTATTAAATTTGTTTTACCCCCCACCCAGCCACCCCCCCCCCCCCCCCCCCCAAAAAAAAATGAGACCCACAAAACAACAAACTTGAATACTAAAAGGTTAGAAGCCCAAATTGAAAAATCGATTAGAATGTTTTCTTTTAGACTGTTTTTAGTCCAAGGACAGATCAAACAATAGATCAAACAAAACTTGAATCATTATAAAATACACAAAGACCAGACATTCACCAGAATAGACCAACAAATTTTAGTCCAAAACAAAACCCAAATAACAACAAGGGAAAAGGTGCAAATAGGCTCATGTACTAACCAAAACAGGTCAAATAAGCCCTTATTTAAGAAGTTCTGTCCGGCCGTCGTCATTTGGGTTGGTTCCCGGTAGAATTTTTTGATGAAAATTTTCGAACATCTTATTCATCAAGTCTAGTTTGCTCATACCAAATTTCAGCTAAAACTTCAATCGGGAAGGCATTCAAATGAATTCTTGAAGATAATTGCGCAGTTATTTTCAAGAATTCATTTGAATGTCTTCCCGATTGAAGTTTTAGCTGAAATTTGATATAAGTAAACTAGACTTAATGAATACGATGCTCAAACATAAAAAATTTCCCCGGGAACCACTCCAAATGGTGATGGTCGGACAAAGATTCCTAAATAAAGGCTTATTTGATCTTTTTTATTAGTACATGAGCCTATTTGCATCTTTTCCCAACAAAGCAGCTATAGCAGTGACTAGAAGTCTAGAAAACTAGATCGTGTCTTCGAAGTGACAAAACCCAAGCCTCCAAGCAATAGCCAATTACTAAAGACTAAACATTATTTTAAAAATTTAAATGAAGCTAAAAGGAAAAGTTTATTTGTGGTTCTGAAGCAGAAGAAAGGTTCGCTAATTCTGCCGTCAGCTTCTCTCCTTTGGCCAAGCCACTATTCAGTTACGTTGCAGACTTCAGTATCATCAATCTCTCATTCGGATATCTCTAATTTTTTCTTTGTTTTGAAAATTAGGAGTTCTGAATAACTATGAATTGCGCTATTTAGGGTTTCTAAATTTGATTAATTGTTAGTTCAAATGATTGGCAAAATTCTTTTGTTGATTGCTTGAATTGTTAAATGTAAAAAGAACTGAAAACCGTGTTGTTTTTTGACATATTTGATACACCATAATACATAACTATTACGGAGTACTCATTATTATCTCTTCGTCAAAAAAAATACGGAGTAATAATTATTATCTTAAGGGAAAACTGTCAATTAGATTCTTGTACTTTTGAAACACTCAATTTAATCCTTAAACTTTTAAAAATCATTCAATTGTGCTGTTTAGCGTGTTGTTATACCGTGGGAGCAACCCACGATGAGCATGGTGCTCCCAAGAGTCTAATTCGCGTGTTATTGTTCACGCACGTGAACTTTTATTCTTCCCTTGTTCCACTAGCAGAGTGATGTAACTCGTGTGTAAAAAGATGTAACTCACGTTGTTGACCAATGTAACTCAAGTCCATTCGAAATGTAACTTGTCAAATACATAGTATAAAAAATAAAATATTGATTTCAATGTAAACAATAAAAAAGTCTAATTGCACAATTGCTTTACATAAATAGTGTATATGTTTTATTTTTCAATGTCAAGGCCATTGAAAATGATTTTTAAAAAATCCTTTTTTTTTTTCATTAGCAGGGGTTCATTTTTAAATGTAACTCGCATTGAGGCAAATGTAACTTGTGTTGATTGAATATGTAACTCACATGTATGCAAAATGTAACTTTCTGAGACAAGCTCAAATGTAACTCGCGAGTATATAAATGTAACTTAAGCCAAAACGAAATGTATATGAGGTTAATAAGAATGTAACTTGCCAAATTTAAATTTAAGTTTTCTAAATAAATGGTGTTGTGTTTAATTTAATAGTCATTAAAGTACGACTTCTCTTCCCCTTCCTCTCATTCTTTCCACAAGATCAAAGAACAAGACAAGTAGAGGTGGATAAAGTTCTCTTCTTTGGTTCCTTCGTTAGCTTAGAAAGGGTGAAGACAGTGAGTTTGGAACCAATGACACAGTTGAAGAGAGGTGGCCGGCAGATAGTAAAGGCCAGCCATGGTTGCTGAGATCCTGAACAGATATCCGCCGAGAAAAACCATTTGGATTGGTAGGGGATTGCTCTGGAATCGGGATTCAACAGAGCTTCTCCAGGGCGGCGCCGTTTAGGGATCAGCACACCGTGCGCACGGTGGGTCGATCCCACGGTATAATTTGCGCTATTTTGGAGGTAGTTAACCGGTTTCCTTGGTTAACTGCACATGTGGCGGCCTACCTGGCAGCCTTCGTGACATTTATTTTCCTTATCACTTTCCTTTTATTTTTATTTTCTGTTTTGTTTTCCTTCTACCCTGGAATCATTCCCATCTGCTCAGCTACTTGATGGCATCATGTTCTCTGCACTCATCTAGCTGAAAATCGCCGGCCACCGGTACACCCTTCTTCATGCCGGACACAAACACACCCCTGACGCCGGCCACGAACGGCAACTCCGTTATGGCAGTATTTCCATTTTCTTCTTTCTCTGGCTTTCTCTTTCTCCAAATCTGTTCTTGCTCTCCCGTTCTCTTTCTCTAGGTCGTATTCTTTGCATAAATTGATTTTACTCTCATGATTATGTGTCATCCTATCTAGCCAGACTAATCAGGCCTTCCGTATCTAACCATTTGTATATGTGTGTGTTAATACATATATGTATACTCAATTGAGAAGACAAATTTCAATTCTGAGTTTCAAGTGCTCAACTACAATGAATCGACTTCTCCAGTAGTGCCACCCCTAATTTTGCAAAAAAAAAAAAGATTAGGGATTCAGATTCATCTCTGATATTTTAAATTTATGCCAAAGATTAGTGCTGTGTTTTGGTAAATGGAATTAGCGGTGAATGTTTAGTTCAGTACCAGAAATATGAAAAGGAAAAAATAAGAGAAAGAGGAGATGCTCAGGGATGTGGGAACTGGGAAGAGGGGCAGTTGGACGAAGGAAGGAGGAGAGAGGGAAAAAAAGAAATAAAATTGACCCGGTGGCAACATACAAAATGCCACATGGCAAGCCATATCACTTGTCACTGGCATCACCAATACTCGACCGGTTGAAATGGGGTGTTTTTGTATAGTTTGAGGGCTTAATTAAATGATTTGATAGTACAAAAACTTAATTGATTAATTGCACATTGTAGGACTTATTTGACAGTTTTCCTTATCTCAATGATGTCATTGAGTTATGCTCCATTTCTTCTTATAGATATAGAGGAATGCTCCAATAAAGCATCACCTGATTACCGTTGCGATGCCAATGCACTTTGCAACGACACTCTTGGCAGCTACACTTGTTCGTGCCCGAAAGGATACAAAGGCGATGGGTACAAAAAGGGAACACGTTGTACCCTCAAGCAGGGTGGCATTAATACCTTGCTGATAATTTGTACAAGTAAGTGATCTCACTTTGAAATAAAAGAAAACAAAAAGATGGAAGACACTAATATCAATTCATCAATTTTCTAATTGAACTATTTATTATCATTAACAATCTTTACTTATAGATCTTCGGTGCGAAGAATATGTTGAGAAATTATCAAAATTAGCTAGACTTTTTTTTATTATCGTAAATTTGCTAGACCTTATATAGTCGAAATAATGCACATACAATTTAATAAAAAATGGGGAAAATAACTTTAAATAATACCAACTATCATTCATGAATCGATAATAATAATAATACAAACTTCGAAAGTGACTTTGAAGAATACCAACTATCATCCATCAAAAAGAAGCGCAGATAATTTAGTCACTTTAGTGAGTCATTTTGCTTTATTCCATCAAATATTTACCTTTTTTTGTTCCTTCAAAATTATTTTTAATATCTTTTTATGAAAAAAGAAGCGTGTTTTCACAAATTTTCTCTTTCCTTATTAAATGTTCTGTATAAAAAATGCATATCTTTACTTTCTTAAACTACTCGGCTAGTCAATTCAGGGATGAATGGAATATGTGTGTATTCAATACTTCCATGTATAGTACTTGGTAGTATTTAAAAGAAGGCAATACATTCATTATTTTACTTCAACTTGTGATATGCAGGTGTGAGTGTTGCCGTCACGTCATTTCTAGCAGTTAGCTTCTTCATATATTTGGGGTCGAGTAAGAGGAGGCTTAACAAACTCAGAGAGCAATTCTTCCATCAAAATGGTGGCATGTTGTTAGAGAAACAAATAGCTGGAAATGAAGGACCAAGCGATACAAGAATGAAAATCTTCACACTAGAAGATCTTGAGAAAGCTACCAACAATTTTGATGAAAAAACTATCCTAGGGCAAGGAGGATATGGAACAGTTTACAAAGGTGTACTCACTGATATTGGAGTGGTTGCTATAAAAAAATCCAAGATTTGTGAGAGAGGTCAAGTTGAACAGTTCATCAATGAGGTCGTCGTTCTCTCGCAAATCAACCATAGAAATGTTGTCAAGCTCTTCGGTTGTTGTTTAGAGACAGAAGTTCCATTACTAGTCTATGAGTTTATAACCAATGGCACTCTCTATGACCATCTCCACACACATGCCCAATCATCAAATCTTTCATGGGAGGCTCGTCTAAGAGTTGCATCAGAATCTGCTGGAGCATTGTCATATCTACACTCAGCTGCTTCTCCTCCAATCATTCATAGAGATGTAAAGACAGCAAATATTCTACTAGATGATAGGCTCACCGCAAAAGTTGGCGACTTTGGAGCTTCAAGGCGTGTGCCACTTGACCATTGTCAAATCACAACATTAGTGCATGGAACATTTGGATATATAGACCCAGAATACTTCCACACGGGTCAATTAACAGAAAAAAGCGATGTTTATAGTTTCGGGGTTGTACTAGCAGAGCTATTAACGGGAGAGAAGGCTATTTCACCTACCAGGGAAGAAGGGCATAGGAATCTAGGGGCTTATTTTGTTTCTTCTCTGAAAAATGGTCGGTTGTCTGAAATGGTGGACAATCGGATAATTAATGATGTCAACTTTGATCAAGTTATGGAAGTTGCGAAGATTGCGAGCCGTTGTTTGAAGGTAAAGAGGGATGATAGGCCAACTATGCAAGAAGTGGCAATGGAGATAGAGGGATTGAGAGTTCTTGAGAGACGCCTAAGGGGAGGATTAGGGGAAAATGAAACGTCTTCAAAAGAGATTGAGTATATTTCGTCATTTGCATCTTCTCACACAATTAATAATGTCAGAGATTCTTTCACTAGTGGTGGTAAAACGAGTGAAGGAGAAAGCATGGAGATGTTATCTACGTCATTGAGTTGTGGGAGATGATGGTAATTTGCTTTTTATTTTCCCTTTCGCTGAATTTGTTTTTTTGCATGCTATATTTTAAACTTTGGTGACTATCTTTTTCATATTCTACCAAAATATTTGATATTGAGTAATTTGTGATTGTTTCTCATTACTTTCAACAAATTTGACTTTCTTTTTCCTATTACTTTCTTATTTCATGAACCCATCAAACTTAACAAACTCTAACCGAACAAAAGGAGCATAATTTTTGCCATCCAAATAAATACCGAAAATATTTCTTTCGATTAGCTAAAAAGCATTTTTAGTAATTAATTTCTTCTTGGTATTGTTTCTCATTCCTTTCAAAAAATTAGATACATGGCATTTACTTTTTTTTATTTCATGAACCCATCAAACGTCGCAAACTTTAACCGAATAGGAGCATAATTTTTAGACAACCACATCAACATTGAAAATATGTCTTCCTATAGACAAAACATATTTTTGTGAAATTTATTATGTACTTCTTCGATAGCTGCTATGGGGATCCTAAGAGGAGAAGAGTGCTGGAGTTCCATGAGCAGGATGGGTAGGAAGCGGGTGCAATGGTGATTATTGATGGAGCAAAAAACATAAAGGAGACGGGTTTAGGTTTCTAGACTTGCCTAGCATCTGCTTTTATAACTTTTTTGCTGTTATTTTAGAAAATTGCTTTGGTAAAGACAGTAGGTGTTTTTTTTATGGGTATGTTTTGCCCATGGTGACTTGTTTTTGTTTTAGTTGTTGCTTTGATTTAGAGTCAGGAGATGATAAGTGATAGGCATGGGAATCTAGATCGATCATAATTAGCTTACAATTGTCCAAATGGGAATTAGCGAATCAAGTGGCTTCTTTTGAGGTGACTGATTCTAAGTCTGATCCAAGAGCGTATGGTCGAGCTATGGTTTCTGGTCTTTGTAACTTGTCCATCCGGGTTGGATGATACTTTTGGTTTTACTGGTACTTTAATATTTTATAACCTTAGCAATCAATATATATATATATATATATATATATATATATATATATATATATATATATATAAGAGGAACTTTTTAAAAGCATACAAAGTGCCACATAATCCTGTCATGTCATTATATATAGCAATTATTTACTTATTTTTATACCTTTTGTTTTTATTAGATTCTATTTTTGATTACATATTGATATAGAAACAAAAATCCTTAGAAATCCACCTTAATTAATTTGGTAAGCTTCAAATAAGTAAAATAATTTTTGGTTATCAAAGTGAAATTCTAATAACGTTTATTGATATGGAAACTAATTTATATTAGTTTACTAAACCGAATTGAATAGAAACAAACATGCAAATTAGTTTACTTATTAATTTGACACCTATTGATAAATTAGTAAGCTTCAAATCAATATATATATATATATATATATATATATATATAAGAGGAACTTTTTAAGAGCATATAAAGCGCCACATAATCCTGTCATGTCATTATATATAACAATTATTTACTTATTTTTATACCTTTTGTTTTTATTAGATTCTATTTTTGATTGCATATTGATATGGAAACAAAAATCCTTAGAAATCCACCTTAATTAATTTGGTAAGCTTCAAATAAGTAAAATAAATTTTGGTTATCAAAGTGAAATTCTAATAACGTTTATTGATATGGAAACTAATTTATATTAGTTTACTAAACCAATTGAATAGAAACAAATATGCAAATTAGTTTACTTATTAATTTGACACCTATTGATAAATTAGTAAGCTTCAAATAAGTAAATAATTAAAAATGAAATTAAAAATTATAACCAACATAAAGTATATCTATTTTCACAAGTAAATATGTCTAGCCTAGCCAAACAAGTAATTTTTTTTGATTGTTTCTTTATTTTACACCTAAAATTTAAATATGTCTTCACTTTGAAATAGATTCCTAATCTAAATTAGAAAATCTTTATAGGTTTACACATTCCTACTTTTACTTTAATAGAATGTTTTTAATTGGATTGGTTTCAGTTCCAGATTAAATCAGATCAGATCAAACTTTAATAATTATAACAACAAGTCAAATAAAAAACAGACATCTAATAGACCATATTAATTCATACCAAATCAAACCCAAAATTCTAATTCAATTAAAAATGTTCTTATTAATGAGTAAACTGTAAGATCTAACAATTAAGAAATATAGAATTGTTTTTATTATTGGGTTCATAACAATTATGTTTACTTGAGATGCTTACGTAGAAGATCAATTTAACTTTTTTTCATATTTTTTTCTTTGTTTCACAAATGGAATATATTTCACATATATTTTTCATGATTTAGGAGATTCCACCTATTTAACCAGAATTCAATCAATTTCAGCAAATAAATTAATTCTATTTACTTTAGTATTATCAAACAAACTCTATATTAGACTAAGTTTATTTTTCTTTTAAATCACATTATATGTGATCCGATAGAAATTAAATTTCAAATTAGCTAAATTACATACTGCCCGTGCATCGCACGGGCTTGAAAGCTAGTGGTTTAATATTTTAAAGATATTCTTATATCACTGGAGGCACAAACATTATTTCTGTTACCATACTTTATGTAAGAAATATTTACTTTCATAGAAAATTATAGTTACCATTTTGAATTGAGTCATAACTACTAATCCAATTAACTTCGTATATTAATCCATTTTGGATATTTACTTTAATATATAGAAAATTGTAGCTACCATTTTGGATTGAGTCGTAATTACTTCAATTCAACTTTGTATGCTTAAAAGTCTATAGTTACCCCGTGATTTTTATCCTTCCCTCGTCAATATTAATCTTATTAGACTCCACACAACTGTTAAATGTTATGATAATTTTCTAAATTTTCTGCCTTTAAATTTAAGAACATTTCCTTATAATCAATATAAGACATGTTTGTTGTTGATGCAAAAAGTTATGAACAACACTAAAAACGTATGTTGATGAAAGAAAGGCATTTTCATTAACATTAATAAATTTAGGTTATTTTTACTAGATTTAAAAATCTAGTGGAGTTAAATTATATAAGAAGCTAAGGTATTGTACTTTGAGTGATGCACGGAACACAAATACAATTAAATTCCTAAATGGGATGCCCTTGTTGTATACAAATGCAGCAGACCTTGACTTCTTGGGTCTTGGATTTTAAGAGAAAATCCTTAACTAAAGAAGTCAAGCCGGCAACTTAACTCTCCAATAATGACGTTGATTCCGCAGCGGCAGCTCTACGAGTTGAGGAACGTCCGTTGTAGTGTCTAGAGTTCTCGGCCAACTCCGAGATGAGATCTCTTGCTTGAAAAGGGGTTTTGTTGACAATGCCCCCTCTACACGCTGCATTCACCATGCGGCGATCTTGATCCACAAGACCATCATAAAAGTAGAGAATGAGGTCTTGCTCGGTGTATCCGTGATAGGGGCAACTAGCACATAGCTTCTTGAATCTCTCCCAATATTCATATAAGGATTCATCATCTTTTTGTTCAATATTGCTTATTTGCTTCTTGAGAGATGATGAAATAGAAGCGGGGTAGTACCTTTCAAGGAAAGCCTTCTTCATTTGTGGCCATGTAGTGATACTTCCCGAAGGAAGATAGAATAGTCAGTCCTTCGCGGTGTCCTTCAAAGAGAATGGGAAGACCCTCAGTTTGATTTGCTCCTCGGACACGCCGTTGGGGCACATGCTTGTGTACAAAATATGGAACTCCGATAAGTGTTTGTTTGGATCTTCCCCTCGTAGTCCATGGAAAGATGGAAGTAGATGAATGAGCCCATATTTTAGCTCAAATGTGACCCCGTATCAAAAGTTGGAAAAGTGATACATAGGGGTTGTTGATTAAGATTCGGAGCCATGAGCTCCCTCAATGTTCTTGTTTCATGAGCCATTGTGAATGACTCTTCGTTCTCGCTAGATTGAGAACTAACACTTGATGGTTCTCCCGAGTCGGAGTTTGAGAATTTGTTTTTCAACCGCTCGAGATTTTGTTATATTCCGGGATTTGAGTGGTAGGTGATTTTGTTCAGTGAACGATATTTTATCATATACTAAAAAGCTCAGAAGAAATAGAAATCTTTATACTTAAATACTATATTTGAGCATTTTCTTTATATTTGAATAATATTTTTTTTTCTTTTTCTTAAAATAACATAAAAAGAAAAATTAATTGTCTTTCCCCGGCAACGGCGCCAAATTTGACGAGCACTTTGCCACAGTGCGTCAAAATAAATTCAGTACTAGCACTAATACGTAGTATAGTGAAGTAGAGTTCGTATCCACATGGAAAGGAATAACTCTCTTTTTATTTAACTAGCAAATAAAGGGGGGGTTGATTGAGTGATTTAATTAATTTAATCACGAAGATGAACGACTTATATGAGATTTAATTCAAAGATAAAAGGGACTTGGCATTGCTACTTTCCACTTGTTGATATATTTCAGTCGATCATTGTTATATCTATAACTTATCCCCTCTCGAATACTCAATCGAGGAGTATATCCAATTCATCGAGGGTAGTCATTAACAACGACCGTTCATTAATAACCGTTACTATTAGTCAAGTATAGAACACCGCCATATACTGACTTGATAGTAGCATTTAATCTCTTAAATCCCTTGAGATTGATAACCTCAACACAACGGTTTCGGTTTAACCAACAAAATTAATCCCTCTTAAGGATATAAATTGAATTTTGCTGTCGCTTGGATGAAAAGAAAGTGAAATAAAACTGTACGGCTGTACCGTACCGACGGGCGACACAGAACAAGTCAAACAAAACTTTTGAGGCATCATTTAATTCGAACTGAACTGGAACCAGAACAAACTTCATAACAATCCGAAATTTCAACACTACGACCCAGCAGTGTAAAGCCTCAACTTCCTCGAAATTAATTCACCAGGACTAGTACTACTATATCTAGATGGAGAAAGGACCACAACGCTGACCAAGTCAAAGTTCAATTCGCACCAAAACTAGCTCCCATAAAATATCCTCATTCAAAAATCATGACCATACAATCAGAAACTTCACAAAAAAAGGAGAAGATGCAAATGAAGCTAGCAATAGCAGCTCTGCTCGCGATTGGATTCGCCACTGCGACGGCGGCGACCATGGCCAAGCCCGGCTGCCCCGACAAGTGCGGCGGCGTGGACATACACTTCCCATTCGGCATCGGGAAAAACTGTTTCTTGAACAGAGGATTCAATCTGTCCTGCGACCAAGATTCAAAGCTATGGACGACCCAATCCCATAACTCCCAAACCCAGAATTCCCAATCCCAAATCACCGCCATTGATTACCTGAAAGGGCAGATGGAAGTCCTGATGCCCATATCCCGGAACTGCTTCAACGAATCCGGTGGAGTCATCATCGACGAACAGCCGTGGCTCGGCGTCCCGGATTCCTTCACCGTCTCCAGCGACTCAAACATGTTCTTCACCGTCGGCTGCAACACCTATGGGTATTTCAACAGCTACAAGGGAGACAATCAGTTCTCGACAGCTTGCATATCGAAGTGTAACAGAGCGCCGGAAAAGAAGGACGCCGGGAAGTGCTCTGGGTTTGGGTGCTGCCAGATTGGGATTCCGGCGGTCGGGATGAGGGACCTCCAGGTCGATGCATATAGTTTCGGATTCGACGAAAATGTGTGGAAATTCAACAACTGCAGCTATTCTTTTGTGGCGAAAAACGGTGGGTATAACTTCAGTGCGGATGATATTACGAATGTGAGGTTCAATTCGACGCCTTTGATGATAAATTGGGCCGCCGGGAATGAGAACCAGACATGTGAAAGTGCTGCTAAGGAAGATGGATATGTTTGCGGCTCAAATACGGTGTGTGTAGAGACGGAATTCATGTCTGGGTACAATTGTAAATGCATAGACGGCTATGGCGGGAATCCATACCTCCCTATTGGTTGCCAGAGTAGGTCCTCTTTACTCCATTATTATTGATTGTTGTCTGTATGGGTATTAGTCGGTTCGGTTTTGTCGATTTTGGTTTTATCAATTTCAGCTTTGGAAAAGTTGAAACCGAACCACACTACTTCGAATCGGTTTCGGTTCGGTTAACTTCGGTCGGTTTCAATTGATTTGAAGCATGGTTTTGTCGGTCGGTTTTTTAACCCAAAAGGTTAACCGTAAATCGGACCGCCAATGGTTAATGGTTTTTGTCGGCTTCGGTATGAGTTGGTTTAGATTTTGGTTAGTTCGGTTTTGGTCGGTTTGTCGGTCGGTTTCAGTTTTTCGATTTTTCGTTCACCCCTAATTATTGGTTAGAACTCTTTCATAATACTGAAATATGCTAAATCTATTGATATCGATCAAATTATGAAAAAAAAATATATAATTAAAAGAAATAATTACATAAATATGACCAAAATAAAGATGATTTACAAAAATATGACAAGCGATTAGTGACTAGAGTAGTAATGAAATCATAGTAATTCATGTTCAAGTTTTGAGCTTAAGTTACCACAACACCACATTGTAGTAATGAATTGTCATATTTATGTAAATATGTTTTACTTTAATAATATTCTTGTAAAAAACCCTAATTAAAATACATTTATCAATAAAATAATGAAAAAAAATTATTCCATATGAAAACTAGTTTAAAGGTCATTCTAAACAATTTCGATCAATGTAGTTAGAAAAATAACATCAATGTTATCAGTTTTGATTATTATGTGATTCGTCACGCAAAATCAAAAGTGTGTGCTTGATCAATTGGTAAAGATGATTAGATGAAAATAAGAGTTATCAAACTTGCTTTTAATCTACACAAAAAAGGAAAATTTTGGGTGGTGTAGAAGTATGTTCTTCCCTTATTGTCATGTTGTTGTTAATGCTCCATTTCTTACAGATATAGATGAATGCATTGAAGAATCGACTAATTACCCTTGCGTTAAAGAAGCAAAATGCAAAGACAGTCCTGGTAACTATACTTGTACGTGCCCAAATGAGTACGAAGGAGATGGCAAGAAACAAGGAACGGGTTGTAAGCGCAAATCTAATGGCAATAATACCTTGCTAATAATTGGTTTGAGTAAGTGATCTCTCTTTTTTTTGCTATGAGCTTTTGAAAAATAACTTTTCTAGCGCTATTCTTTTAAATAAAAGCAAGCCAAAATATTAGAGATGTTAAAATCAATTCAATAATGATTTCCAAGAGTTGACAGAAACAAATGAACTATTCCATCATAACATTCTCTATATAGGGGGTGTTTGGTTAATGGCCTATCAGCCATTTTTTGGCTGATTTGACCAATATTTGGCTTTTTGACCAGATAAACAGCTAATAAAAGTGTTTGGTTAATTGGCTTTTTAACTTGGCCTTTTATCCCAAACAGCCAAAATAAGAAAAGCCACAAAATGTGGCGTTTAGTGTTGGCCGTTTGAACATCCATAAGGATATTCCTATCCTACCCTCTTTTTGTACGCAAATGTTCTTGGTCTACCTGCGGCAAGCTATCTCTGCCAAGCATCATGCATCATACAACACAACTTTTCTTTATATTTGTACTTATTATCCCATTAATTAATTATGTAGTAAAATACAATCATATTTATTTATTAAATTTATGAAAAACGATAATCTAAAAGCTACATGAGCATGCAACACAACTTTTGGTTATATTTGTACTTAGTATTCCATTAACTAATTACGTAGTAAAATAAAATAATATTTATTTATTAAATTTATTATGAAAAACGTTTAAAATTCTAAGTGGTTAGTAAACAAAATAAATTAATCGATGTCTTTAAATATCATTTTACATTTTATCAGCTGATTGCAAATAGCCATTTAACCAAACACAATTCTATAAACAGCTAATACTAGCAGCTAATCAAAACAGCCAACAGAATCTGCCGTCACCAATCAGCCAACAGAATTGGCCAACAGCTAACAGCCAACAGCCAATTGCCAAACACCCCCATAGTTCTCCATGCAAAGAATATTTTGAGTAATTATAAAAAATTGTTAGACTTTGGGTATGTTTAATTTGGCAAATGGCTTATCAGCCGGCTTTTAGCTTGTTTGACCCATTTCAGTTGTTTGATTGGTCAAAGAAGCTAATAATGATGTTTGGTAAATGACTTTTAAAATTAGCTTGTTGAGTTTGAAAAGCTGAAAAAATGGATTGTTGAAGAAGCTAAGGGGGGGCTTATTCATTCGGCTGGTTCAATTTACACTCTATTAGCCATTTCGAAACAACCAATTTTACCAAACAGTTATCTATAATCAGCTAACATAACCAGCCGGTCAAAACAGCTAACACAACCAGCTGTTAGGAAACAGCTGACACAACCAGCTAACAACAACTAACAGCCATTTGCCAAACATACCCTATATAGTGAGAATTATGCACAAGTTTAATCAATAAACGCTTCTCAGCTATATAATCATATACGGAGTAATGTTTATACTTTCTTAAATTTAAAATACTAAAATAGTCTTTATTCAATAAAAATATTTTATATACGAGTACTATACTATAGATACATTACTTTTAAAATGTTAATCTTTGAGATTGAATCGAACAAAATGTGTATGGCCACAAGAAGCACAACACTTAGTCGGAAACAATTTTTTCTCATTTCTCATCAAATCTTAACAGTATACTATACTTCGTATCTAGTTGCTGAAAGTGTGTGTCAAGTCAAATGGGCACAAATATAAGTACAATGAACTGAGTGAAGTATACTACTCTCTCCATCTCGAAATAAAGTTTATATATGTTTCCTTTTTGCCAAATGATCCTACACACACGCACTTCATACTTTACTCTTATACTTGAAGTTACAACTTTATTATTTCAACTTTACATGTTTTTTACTACTATAGTGAAAGAGGGGATAGTTTAGGTTTTTTTTTCACTTTCTTAATTTTTGTGCTCAAAAGTTTTGTAACTTTAAAAGAAGGCTACATACCTATTATTATGCTTCAACTTATGGTGGACAGGTTTGAGTATTGGTGTCACAGCTTTGCTTATAGTAAGCTTCTACATATATTGGGGGTCGAGGAAAAGGAGACTTTCTAGACTAAGAGAGCAATTTTTTCATCAAAACGGTGGCATATTGTTACAACAACAAATAGCAGGAAATAGGGGACCAACTGATACAAGAATGAAAATCTTCACATTGGAAGATCTTAAGAAAGCCACCAACAATTTTGATGAAAAGATGATCCTAGGCCAAGGAGGATATGGAACAGTTTACAAAGGAGTATTAGAGGATAAAGAAGTGGTAGCCATAAAAAAATCCAAGATTTGTGACAAAAGTCAAGTTGAACAGTTCATCAATGAGGTCGTCATTCTCTCCCAAATTAACCATAGAAATGTCGTCAAGCTTTTTGGTTGTTGTTTAGAGACAGAAGTTCCGTTACTAGTCTATGAGTTCATAACTAATGGCAGTCTCTACGATCATCTCCATAAACAAGACCAATCATCGGATCTTTCATGGGCAACCCGTTTAAGAGTGGCATCAGAATCTGCAGGAGCCCTCTCATATTTACACTCCGCTGCTTCTCCCCCAATAATTCACAGAGATGTAAAGACAGCCAATATACTACTAGATCAAAGGCTTACCGCAAAAGTAGCTGATTTTGGAGCTTCGCGGCTTGTCCCTCTCGATCGAACCCAAATCACAACTTTAGTGCAGGGAACATTTGGATATCTAGACCCAGAGTATTTCCACACGGGTCAATTGACAGATAAAAGTGACGTTTATAGTTTTGGGGTGGTTCTCGCAGAGCTATTAACTGGACAAAGAGCAATTTCATTCGCTAGGCCAGAGGAAGACAGGAATCTATCAGCTTATTTTGTTTCATCTCTGAACAATGGACGATTATCTCAAATTATTGATAATCGGATAGTTAACGAAGTGAACTTTGAGAAATTTATGGAAGTTGCGAAGATTGCGAGACAGTGTTTAAAGGTGAGGAGAGAGGATAGACCGACTATGAAAGAAGTGGCAATGGAGATAGAGGGATTGAGAATTCTTGAGAGGCACCCATGGGGGGAAAGTGAAATGTCTTCGGAAGAGACGGAGTATCTTCTGAAATCGACGGGTGTTGCTTCTCATGCGGTTAATATTGGAGATTCACTAACCAGTACTAATAAAATAACTGATGTAGAAAGCATGGAATTGATTTCTATGGGATTGAGTGGTGGTAGATGATAGCAATTTGTTGTTGGTGTGAGATGTAAGTAATGTTCTATTTGTTCTTTTGTGTGTATGGTTTTAAGTACACCAAGTAAACACCGAACATATATTATCTTTTTCTATTACATTTTACCATATTTTCACTTGAATATCGTATGTGCTTATTAGCTTCCTACTACGTACTATATCTGATGGGGTTATAGGACTAGGCCCAATGCCTAATCGGCCCAGGCCCCTAACTTGGATCAACAATCCCAACCAGCGGACCCAGCAATCCGGATCTCAAGCTGGCCCAACTGATCAAGCCCATCAAGAAGCGGAGGTCCAACTGAGTGGAGGCCTAAGATGGCCTGCCTACCAGCCCAACCAGAAGCCTGCCTTCCGGCCTAGCCAGGAGCCTGCCTCCAGCCCAGCGGGAAGCCTCCTGCCTCTAGCCCAACAGGGAGCTCGCCTCTGGCCCAGCAGGGGGTCTGCCTTCCGTCCAAGGGGCTCAAGCATCCAGGCTGACCCGCCAGCCAGCCAGGAACAGAAACGGCCAGAGCAATTAATGCACGACTTGATTATGTATTTAATTCTACATTAATAATGTAATTAATTAGTCATTAGTATCTTTGGCAGTTACCATATGTAATCGCCTATAAAAGGCAAGTCCTGTTCAAATGAATGACAAGTCATTTCTGGCAATTCAATCTCCTAGCACTTTCCTTATTCATATTACTTTTTATTTTCCTGCTTGAGTGTTCTTACGTAGCTTTCCTAAAAGTCTACGAACGTCCTATTTTGGACCAACAATATCTGGTGCCAAGTACATTATGATCTCATGACATTATTGTTTTCATCCTAAATTAGAGGTTGTGAGTATGAATCTCATCCCAATCGAAGAAGTTGACATCGTCATTGAACATATTGTCAACATTTCATTTCATTTCACTTCAGATAGGCAAACTCATTACTTGTTTGGCACCATCTTTTGAAATATCAATTTGCAATATAATCTTAACTAATTTTAATAGATAAATAAATTATTATATAACTTTACTAATATCTCACATGCTTACTAAACCCTGGCTTTAAGTGCTCAGCGACAGTCATCCTATGCATAGTGGCTCTGCAATGTCTTTTCCCATCCTAGTTTAATTCGTTTTGAAGAGTTCTTGATGAGAGTTCATAGTTTATCTATGTTTGATTCATTAGTAACTACTCTTTTAGTTGTGTGTTGTGAGCGATAATAAACTCAAGAACACATGACCATATCAACAACATCATCATTGATAAAGTCAAATTTAAATAAAGATAACTTGATTAAGTCATAGTATATCAACGCTCAGTTAAAGCTACTGGATCTTTACACAACTAATGGAGATGGCAAATGACGAAGACCCAAAGGCGGTTATCGACATTTGAAGGCATTATTAGAAATTAAATAGTTAATGAGTTAATTACGCCCATCAACCATAATTATGTAAACTGATCGATATAAGATGTTATGAGTATGAATAAAACAGACATATATATATAATTACAATCAATGGTGGTGGAAGATGGAACCTCCACATGGTTGTCCAACACCACCACCACTCTCAACCGGAATCACTCCCAGTAATTTTCTATAACAACTCTTAACTACAAAATCCTTTCACATCCCATCTCCAGCACGATCTGCCAAGAACAGTCTTCTTACTCAAAGAAATACTAATCAAGCCCGCAATCGATTGATTACTCTCAGAGGGGAGCCATGGTTTTGTCCAAATACTAATAGATATTTTGTTCCCTACTCAGCATTCATACCCCTTCTTCAAAATACTGTGTAAACATTTAGGACCGGTTCAGAGCTCAATCACCAAACCACGAAGGTTGCTCGTCATCCAACCACCAAAGGGCTTCAAAAGGGAAAAGGGAAGGGCAACAACCACTGCACTCAACCTCACAGAGAAAGGGACCTACCGGAGAAACCCCCCAACCCACTAGCCCAGAGTGAAGCACTCAAAGGTAGGGGTGTGCACCGGTCCAAAACCGGACCGGACCGGACCGGAACCGGTTAGGACCGGAACCGGAATCTTAAAATTCTACGGACCGAAGACCGGACCTGTTACTAACCGGTCCAGACAGACCCGGACCTGAATTTTCCGGTCCGGTCCGGTTTTGACCTAATTGACCCGGTTTAAAAAAGACATAATTTCTTAAAGTTTGGTTTCAAACTACTCCGTATAATTTAATCTGCAGATCTGCCAAATAATTGCTTAATTCATTTATCACTTTTAGCATATAAATATTTAAAACCAACAATTACTTTCCCACAAAAATAAACTATCGGTATAAACTATATCCTACAATGTAGTCTGAAACTTTTGCAAAAACATTCACTGCTATGCAAATAGAATGTAGTCTACCAGTCTGCAAGTTGTATATCCCTAGTGCACACAACACACTGCACACCTACAGAGTAATCTTTTTAAACTATAAAAAATTTATTTGCTTTTTGTTTATGTTATAGATTTATAACAAAAATCTACACAGTCTATTGTCCGTAGTCACTAATTATCATATACAAAGGTAATCAGGTATTTAGGTCTGTAGGTAACCTGTAAACATAAATAAATGGGCTATACAGAATGAACTCAGGAAGTAATTTAACGGGCTACCGGTCTAGACCTGAATTTTTCCGGGTTTGACCCGGACCGGACCGGAACCCGGAATCTTAAAATTCTAAAGACCGAAACCCGGACCTGTTAATACCGGACCGGTCCGGACCGGTCCATTCCGGTCCGGTTCAGGTCTAAATTACGGTCCGACCCGGTTAATGCACACCACTACTCAAAGGTATCCCAGGAGACCGTCGGGGGTGGCCGGAGCACAAACCCAACACAATTCCTACACTCTCTCACTCTAGAACCAGGGCAACACTCAGAATGACTCCTCGAAGGAGAGAGGGTGAGAAGGAGTCAAATACAATGATCCAGAAGGATCCGGACTAATACAAAGGGGACCATCTCATAGGGTGGTGTTGTACAGAATGAGGGTGGTAATCTAAACAACAAAGATGGTGTTGTAGACAATGAGGATGCTGCTATAGAGAAAGAGGATGCAAATGTTGAGAGTGGCCATTCAGGTGTAAATAAGGATGCTAATGCAGAGGCTGAGGATGCTAAAGAAAAGACTGAGCATGGTGGTGGTTTTCCTGCAGGAAAAAATGAAAAAGAAATGCAAGAGAAGAAAAGTGAGGAGATAGAGAAGAACGCTGAAGAAGAAGCTTTTGACATGCCTACGTTTAACATATTAACTCAGTCTCAAGGTAGTGCGGAAAAAAAATGAAGACAGTGTGCAAATGCAAGAGGAGAGACTATCTGCACAAGAAGATAAAAAAGACACTGCTGAATCTGGTTGGGGTATGGGGTCACAGGACAATAGTCAATTTGTCCAAGAGATGCGCAAGAGTGCTGATGAATTGGCAAAAAAGGCTTTTGAGAGCTCTTCTTCTAATCCATGCAGAGCAATCATAGTAAAGACTGACCAGGTAAATACCAAAACTCGGTAAAATGACATTCAAGTGAACTTTTCACATGTTCAAAATGACATTCAAGTGGCAATGTTTATGACCATTTTGTAGTATGACATTGAGTGTTGTCATTTATTACTTCCTTTTCAATAAACATATAAGAACATAATAAATATGATATATTATGCCAATGTCACAGGAGCATCTTCCCAAACAAGAATGTGTTGTTAGGTCACCAGTGAAGTCCATGGGAACTGAGCATGCACAAAAGAGGAGGAAGAGAGAAAAGGCAAAGAAAAGAGAAGATGATGAATTTCTGCCACCCCTAAAGCAAATAATTGGACCTTTCTCTGAAGATCCAATAGAGAGCCCACCAGTTGAAGAAATAAAGAGGGTGAAAGCGTACCTGCAAGTTGGATTGCTGAAGAATAAAAATAAAAATGGCAGAAGGCACAAAAAGGACGAAGGCAAAATGACTGCAAAATCATTCCTGCTAGACACAATGAAAGTTGAATAAAAAACATTGTTATATGACCTGTTTATGAATCACCAATGGATTACAGACAAGGTATGTGTATAAATGGTCATATAGTTGTCAGTAAAAATACAAAGTGTCATTTTAAATACATGTATCTTTGTACAGAATGCCATTATTAGTCAGTTTACTTTACTTTAAATTGTTAAATATGTATTTTATTTCTTGCAGCATGTTGAGGTAGTAATGTACTATTTGAGCATGAAAAGGGTGCATTACCAACTGCATCAGAAGTATACAACAACTATACCATTTTTCTTGCAAATAGTGAAGCGTGAACTTGACACTATATCAAAGGGTCATTACACATACCACAAGTCGGCAGAGCAAGAAAACATTGTGCGTGAAATAATAGGTTGTAACAACGACAGCCTGCACTGGAGCAAGGCAGACTTTGGGTACCTTCCTCTGAATACTGGCAATCATTGGGTCTTGTTAGTGCTTGATATCAAGCAGAGAAAAGTAAGGGGTGTACAATTCCAATGCCAGAAGAGGTGATTCACTGAGGGATATATGATCCTATTTTGCAAGCATATATAATAGTGCTCCTGCCCAAACTTATGGATTATCACAATGTCTATCAACTGATGGGTGAAGAGCCTGTAGAAGGATGTCCACAGCAAGATGATGGGTAAGAGGATATAAATTTAATTAAACAGATTATGTAATAGTGTACTTCTTTATTATTTTAAGAAAGTGCTTTTATTTTTGTTGTTATGCATCAGGGGAAATTGTGGAAAGTACATGTTGAAAATGACAGAATTTCTAATGCTAGGGATGGACATGGATGCCATATATCCCGATGCAATACCATTGTTCAGGGGGGAAAATGGCAACCAAGCTGGTACTCTACAATGAAAGAAGGCAGTGCGAGAAAGAATGAAGCGAGGCTTTGGAAGACTATCTCATATGTACTAAAATGATGTGTGTATTAGAAGACTGTCTCATATGCTTATCGTTTGTTATTGTTTTCGAACAGCATGTTGTTTCACTTTTTTTAAGACAATCAGTTACATTTTGTTTTGAATGTATGACATTTGGTTTTGAAAATAGTGATGGTTTATCTACAAGTCATTTCTATTTATGTATGCATCTTGTAAATGAAATTCGGATGACAGTTGTTAGAAGTTTAAATGACATCTACTATGAAAATGTCATTATTCAGTAAACAAAAATGCCATTCATAAAATGACATTTAACATGACATTCATTTGAATAAAAAAAATGCCATCAAATCTGACATATGCCACTTAAGGATAAATAAAAATGTCAAAACATAAGTAATAAACATCAATAAATGCTAGAATGTTTAGGAACAACATGTTATTTGACTTGTTAAACACGGTGAGAATTCATTTTATTGAATTATGCATATTATTATTCATACTTGTATTCATCTATGCATGGATTGTTAGTGGGGTCAGATTTGATTACATACAACAAATGACATAAAATGACACTTAGATGACATTTGTTAGAATGTCAAATGACATCAACAGTGATAAATGTCATTTACAATTAAAAATATGCCATCACATAATTGACATGACATTTTGGGCAATGCAAATGGCTAAAAAATATTACACTGAACTGTTTACACAAGCTTCTAATAACTATAAGGAACAATGTCATGTAAATGACACGTCAAAATGAAATGGAAAAACTTAACATGTAAATGACATGTGAACAATACAATTTTTTAAACTTAAAGGCCATCAAATCTTACATACGTTAGTTAACAATAAACAAAATGTCAAACCATAGGTCAACTGACATCAAGTGTGAAATATATCATTGAAATGTATCCATTACAAATTGGCATCAAGTGTGAACCACAACTGCCATCAAATCTGTAATATGTCAATTAAGCTTAAACAAAATGCCAAAACACAACTCATAAACACTAAATGCCAGAACATTCAAACAAATGATAACTTCGTCCACACCACATAGTAGAATTCTTAAAATTTGTTTGAATGAATAAAAATATAATCTCAACTAATTTTAATGAATAAATAAATTATTTAACTTTACTAATATCTCACATGCTTTCTAAAACACGGGCTTTAACTGCCCAACGACAGTCATCCTATGCGTAGTGGCTCAGCAATGCCTTTTCACATCCTAGTTTAATTCGTTTTGACGAGTTCTTAATGAAAGTTCATAGTTTATCTATGTTTGATTCATTAGTAACTACTCTTTTAGTTGTGTGTTGTGAGCGATAATAAAATCAAGAACACATGACCATATCAAGAACATCATCATTGTTAAAGTGAAATTTAATTAAAGATAACTTGATTAAGCTACTAGATTTTTACACAACCAATGGAGATGGCAAATGACGAAGACCCAAAGGCAATTATCAACATTTGAAGGCATTATTAGAAATTAAATAGTTAATGAGTGAATTACGCCCAACAAACATACTTATGTAAACTGATCAATATAAGATGTTATGAGTATGAATTTGTTTTTTTTACTCCAACTGACAGATATATTAATTCACCAAATTATGCGCCAATAGGCTTACAATAGAGTCAGGAATACTATCATACCAATAGTACTGATCCGAGATTGACACATGTGCTCTTGCTAAAGCAGGGGCAACACGATTCGCGGATCGTTTACAAAAAGAGACAATGAAATTACTCTTATCTTTTAGTAAATGCCAAATATCATCAAGAATAAGGAAAAGGCAAGAAGACCCCCCTTCATTTTTAGACCCTGGACCACCGAGAGAGCATCTGTTTCCACCTCCACATGTGACCAACCTGCCTCAGCCGATCCCATCAAAGCATCCCGAACACCCATTGCTTCTGTTTCCACCACTGACCAACTAGTTGCTTCGGAGACCCCTCTTGCCTTCAAGAAATTACCATAATGGTCTCGTGCCACCCATCCCCAGGCCCTAGTATGTGTGCTTTCATCCACCGCCCCATCAACATTAATCTTTACAAAACCCTCTTGCAGACGCTTCCAAACCGTCAAGGAATTATTTTCTCTCCTAGACCCATCTGTACTCTCAGAACCTTGCGCATCTCTGATCTCCATCCCGAGATAATTCCCGTCGCTGAGTTGATAACATCTGCCGCTCCTTGCCATTCGTCTTTCCAGACACATCCATTTCTCCTCTTCCACAGACTCCATAAAATAGCTATGAATCTGCATCAGTCTTCCCCATTTGGTCTGTCACGCCCCGGACCTAACCGGACACGTCAACAATCCGCCGTACAGTACGAATAGTCAATCGCAGTCCAACACATCCATATTATACAAGGCGTCTGGAATATCATTCACACATAGTACATCCATAAACAAACATAATGTAAAATATTCATTTAAAGCAGCAGAAACATTCAATACGAGTGTTCATGCCACACCTTGGCAAACATGGGCATACAAAGCCCCCAAATAAATATTTAAAAATAATATCCATGAGCATTAATTTAAATAGTTTGTAAAAATGGAAACGGAGGAAGCACGAACCACGTCTTCACTCCTTGGATCCTCCCGAAAGCAACGGCAATAGTAGCAACCTTCAAGTTCTACCTGAAACTGTGAGGTGACCTCCCCCGTGAAGGGCAGGTCAGTACTTGGAAGCATTTGACAAGTACAATGACAACTATACTAAGTATAATCAAAGTTTCAATTTCCAAGACCCTCAATCTAGGATATTATTATTTTATAATTAACTCACGTTCCTTCATGCTAGAGCTCGGCTCATAGTCATACTAATTTGTGCTAGAGCTCGGCTCATAGTCACACTACATCTTGTTAGAGCTCGGCTCATAGTCATACTACATTTTGCTAGAGCTCGGCTCATAGTCATACTACATTTTGCTAGAGCTCGGCTCATAGTCATACTAATTTGCTAGAGCTCGGCTCATAGTCATACTACCACGTGCTAGAGCTCGGCTCATAGTCACGTCATCTAATCCTAAACAATTTCTTAGTCTAGGTTCCATTCATTTTGAGTAACCCTTAAGGCTTACTCCTAATGTAACTTGGGTTCATAAAGTTCACCTTAAAAATATCCTTTAAGGTTACTTAGCTCCAATATCTTGGGATTAGCCCCAAAGACTATTGAACTAACATTTCCGACTAGTAATTCTATACTAGTCGTTTAATCTTAATATAACCAATGCAAATTCATAGTAGTTCGTATATTTCAATTTAATTCCACATTCAAGTATTGTTTGGCTCTAATATCAAAATATCACTTTTATCCCTCCATGACTTCTTCACATGAGGTAAAAGTATATTTATCACAATGAACACTCATGATTAATACAACTATCATGCCATTTTATTCATAACACATAATCATACACAATTTATTCATAAATTTGTATATTATGCCTTTTCACTTATAAACAATATAAATTTCATTTAGGCACCTTTTATCATTAATAAACCATGCCAAACACATTTAATTAATTTAGGAAATCTCATGAAATTAACCCAATAATTATAAGCAATATAGTCGGTCATCCTCACCTTAAGTGAGCTTAAGCGCGTTCTACGCTTCTCGATTGAACTTTGACTAATTCCGGCGAACTTTGACCAACTCCGGCGAAGCTCAAAAATACTTTAATCAAGTTCCTAACAAGGTTTTAACATCACAAAACCTTAATCAATGCAAATAACCTCTAAAAAGTTATTTTCCGGTGAACTTGTCGGTTTGGCTCCTAAGTCCGTTTTTGGACTTAGAACCACCCTCCAACCCATTAATCCACACTCATGTCATGTGGAATAATCCTAAAGGTTCTTCATATGATATATATCTCATATGGTGGAAGAAAAATGGAGAAGAAGTTATGATAAGGTTATTACCTTAATTTTTCACCCTTTTAGCACCTTAATTCCTTTTCTTGAGATTCTTCCTTGATGAGCTCCCTTCAACAATGGAGAATGAGGGTTGAGAGCTTCCTTGGTCTTGCTGGAGTAGTGCTGGACGAAAAATGAGGGAGGAGGATGGTACATGGTCCTTTTTGTCTCAATAGACCAATGAGTGTGGGTGGAAGGCCCACCTCATGTCTCTTTGATCCTTTTCCAATCAACCAAACATCCCTCATCCTTCCTTCCTCAATTCAGCCGCCCAAGAATTGAAAAAATGTGGCTAAATTCGTGGGTTGGCCCCCACCCATGTGGGAGGTCAACCCTTTTTGTCCAGAAGTATACAATCGGTCCCGAAAGTTGTATTTTTGGACTGTTTTAAATATATTTTATTTTATCGGGCCAAATAAAATATATCATGCGTTCTTAGTCATCATGACATCTAGAATGAATATACATTCCCCAACTTTAATTTATAAGTCTCCGAAATTCATTTCAGGCTGTTATCTGTTAAATTACCGATACCGGTATTTGGGCCTCTTTTGGCCAATCGGTTCACATGATGTCATTCCTTTGGACCAAATAAATTATCCACCACTATATTAATATTATTTAGACCAAGGTGAATAAAGTATAGGGTCTCGGGAATATCGGGCGGTCCCCGCTCCCGGTGTGGGCCCCACGTGCGAATTTACTATTCACGCAAAAGAATTAATAAAAATTCGCAACTTCGTATATTCATTAACCATTCCATAAGGTTCAATACAATATTCACTTAAAAGTAAATACATTTGGGGACGTGCGAAAGCAGCACAAAATTTGAGGGGAGGCGGAAAAAAATTCGAACGGCTGGTTGGAAATATCCATAATCTGTATCATTTTTGTTTATATTTATGATAATTTGATCTCAAATCCAATTTCGACATTAAGTGACACTTTATTTGGACTTATATGTAATTCACACACAAGAGCACGCATACATATACATATCAACTTAAATAGACATTTATTTATTTTTATATGTGTTTTGTTAGTGCATAAACAAAATAAAAGACTTCGTTTATCAAACGAGTTTATTTCGATTTAATACGCTTCTCCTTTTATTTAAGAATAACAAGGTTTATATTTTTAAATATAAAAATCGCTAAACAAGTAGAAGAAGATAAATTAATAATATATATAAGTTAGTAACTTATCAAGAAAATAGTAATTTTATTTTTCTCTTTTCAAATCAACGTCACTTGCAGGTTATTTATTTTGCAAATGCATTACATAAATCTAAATATACTCATATACAGTAGATATTTAAAATATCAAGAAGAAATTTTGGCATACTTGTACTAAATCAAGGAATAAATAACTATGTTAAAATTCAAGTCGTGTTGAAAACATTCCTGATAAACTCCTTGTAAAATGATTTAGGTCAATGTTTAAATAGGAAAGAAATAGTTAAGGGTCATTTGTTACTACTATTGCACTAAATAGAAAATGTAAATAATATTTTAATAATATTGGAAGAAGTAAAAAAATAAATATTTTGAATTGTAAAAATATAAATGTAACATAAAAGTAAAAGAAATCTGGAGTGGTATAAAAATATTAAAACTAATACCATCCCAAAATGTTAAGAGAAAAGTAGAGGAAATTTAATTGGAGTACATAGTAATTAAAAATGGGGCAGCAGGAATCGAACCTGCGTCCCCCACACCTCTGCCGCGCCCTCTTACCATCATGATACTACAACCATTACTTCAAAACCGGGTTCGTTAGTATTTATTACTATTTCTGAGACGGGGTTGAATCTATACATATACATATATATACACTATAAGCTCCGGCGAACAGGGGGCGGCAGCACCGGCTCGCTCCCCCTAGTTCCGCCACTGATTTGGGGACGGTGTTACATGGTCCGCCCAGATGCCGCCAAAACCACATATTCACCGACTCTACCGGGCTGCCCAAATCCACACCCACCTTTCTCCAGACCTCTTTTGCTCTTTCACAAACCCGAAAAACATGATCAGTATCCTCAACCACATCGTCACTAGGGGTGGGAAAAAATACCGAAATTTCGGTATACCGGACTAACCATATCGAAAAATACCGAATTTAGCGTAATGTTTGGTATACCGACACTTTTGGTACGGTATGATACCATACCGAATCACTTTGGTCAGTGGAGGAGCTGGGGAGGGGCATGAGGGGGCATGAGGGGGCAAGCGCCCCCGCTTCGGGCAAAAAAAATTAGTACTACTACTCTACTACTTATAATAATACTGAGTATATTTAATGCATCCCTTCTTCTTTTCCAAAATCAATACCAATTAAGATTAATTTTAGATTAAGTGTTATAATAAAAGGTAAAGACTTTCAGGAAACGTACGTATCTCTAGGAATACAAGTACATACCACACTCATTTGAATGCAAGTGTGCATTTTTAAGACCTTTAATTACACACTGTTGGCTTTTCGTGGTTATATTGAGCAAGAAAGTATTGAGTTTGATGAATATGTTGTCACATTTCTTGCAATGAAAAGATCAAGATATTCTCGAGACTGTGTTGGATTCCCTCCTTAGTGGAGAAATTAACAAGAATTTTATAATTTACAATCTTACAAAGATGTATAAGATTTTCTATATGTGTGTAGATAAGTATTGAATGTTCTAGAATAATAATGTGGAGTTTTTTAGAGAACCTTCATTCAGTGCTTCTCTTTGTTCTAAACTCTTTGTTCTTTAGAACAAAGAGAAGCTTTAGAGAAGTTTCCTATTTCTATGAGAACCTTGAAGAGAGCTCTTGAGTGATTGAAAGTGAGAGTCTCTTTGAGAGAGGAAAGTGAGAGCCTTCTTGTGAAAGAAGACACAAAAATATCACTTGATGAAGTGTATGTGATCATGATCGAGTTAGGTAAAGTATAATATTCCCAATTACAAAGAGTGAATGTGGGTAATAGAAAATGATTTTGCCAGATTGAGTCTTTGTATTATGAGTCGTGTTTTTCCAACATGAACTTATCATACAACATTTTGAATAAATTAAAACTCGTATGATTGATTTACCCAGATTATTGATACGAGTCAAACAATATGTAATAAACTATATATGATTTATTTACCCAGATTATACATATTACGCTTTTATTGTTTTATTATATTTTGAGCAATTACACAATAATTCTTAACCTTCGGTACGCCCCTCCTTCGAAAAATCTCTGGCTCCGCCACTGACTTTGGTATGGTATCGGTATATATTTTGAAAATAAGTGGTATACCGGTATACCGTCATACCGTAATTCCAAGCCAATAATTTCCTTAAAATTATAAAAATAACTAGAAACACAACACTAATTCAAGGATAAATGACTTTAAATCCATGTTTCTTGAATTATTTGTACTTTTTTGTTTGAGATCGGTGTTATTTTATTTATATTTATGTTGTTTAAATTATTTTAGCAAAATGTGTTGTTATCTTCGTATATCATGTGTTGAAATATCTATACATATTTATAATATTTTTTTGATCAAAGTTGAATAATCTCATTGGTATTTTATAATTAATTTCATTAATGATTTTAGCATATCACTGTTAACACTGATTTTCTTTATTTCATTTGACATATAATAATTTGTTACATTAAATCATGATAATTTACTGATACCGTACCGAAATTTCAGTATACCGAAACAAGGTATACCAAAATTTCGGTATGGTAACAGTATGTATTTTTGCATCCTGAAAGCTTACGGTATGGTAAAGGTATGCGATAAAATATTCGGTAGACCGTACCGAACCACCCCGAATCGTCACACACTTTACACCCGTCAAGAACCTGCACACATTTTTTCCCTCAGATTATCAACCGTAGGAAGAGAGCCATCAATAGCTTGCCAGGCAAAATATTTTAGCATCGGTGGGATATGCAACTCCCATAACCGAGCCCAATCAGTCCCGTCCCCGGTCTGCAACTTCCCTATAAGCAAACGGTAACATCTTTTCACTGAAAACTTCCCACTATTCTCACCATTCCACCAGTACCCATCCTTTCTGTCATAGGAACTAATGGGTATACTCAAGATCTTCCGTCTGTCATCTGCATTAAAAATATTAGAAATTCTCTCCCCGTTCCATTTTTTCCCAATTATATCACGAAGGGCAGCAACATTCATATCTCTAATTCCAGTTGGTCTGGTCGACGAAACCCGACCCTCCCCCTCACCCGGGAGCCACGCATCAGCCCAAACCTGAACCTCAATCCCATTCCCAACTCTCCTTCGGATGTTATTTTTGAGGATATTTTGAGTCTCAACAATACTCCGCCAGATAAAAGATTTGTTATACCCCACCTGAGCATGTAAAAAGTCCGAGTTTGGATAATACCTGACCTTCAATACTCTGCACATACCCCTTCTTCAAAATACTTTGTGTAAAGATTTAGGACCGGTTCAGAACTCAATCACCAAACCACGAAGGTTGCTCGTCATCCAACCACCAAAGGGCTTCAAAAGGGAAAAGGGAAGGACAACAACCACTGCACTCAACCTCACAGAGAAACGAACCTACTGGAGAAACCCGCCAACCCACTAGCCCAGAGTGAAGAACTCAAAGGTATCCCAGGAGACCGTCGGCGGTGGCCGGAGCACAAACCCAACACAATTCCTACACTCTCTCACTCTAGAACCAGGGCAACACTCAGAATGACTCCTCAAAGGAGAGAGGGTGAGGAGTCAAATATTCAGTAACTTATTTCAATTTTTACACTTAGGAGAACATGACACGGTAATATAGTAACTTTTAATGATATTTTTGTAAATAATTTATTTCAAAATTATTTTAAAAAAGGTCTAAATATATTTATTAAACTAAAACAAAATTACATGTAATGAAATTTAGCCATGGTTAATATCTTTTACACTTTTCAATAAGTGATGCACTATAATATTTATTCAAGACAAATATAACGAAGCTTGAATTCAAAACTTGACAAAAAAAACTATGATTAAGGCCCCAAATGAAAGAATTAATAGATTATTATGTTGACACTAAATTTATATAAGATAATGTGTAACATAAAATCTAGATAGTCATTCTTTCACACATGTAATATTTGATGAATTTATTATCATAGTGTTACTTTATTATTTAGCTACATTAAAAATTCTTAT